GGTCGAACGTGTCGTTTGGGTCTATACCCTAGCTGCACTGATGAGGCCTGGAAGGCCGAAACGGATCCGTCTGCAGATATTGGGATTCCTTCCAGTAGATGCTTAGTTTATTTTGTCATTCTGATCGGAGTTTCTCTACTGTTCCGTTTTAATTTTAAATAGTTTTGCATTATGTGGCCGTTTGCTGTTTTATGGGTTTTCTCATTTGCCTTTTCTCATTAAATAAAACAGTTATAAAAATGTGCCATGGTCAGGATAACAAGATTGTGGAATAAACGAAATGAATAGGTAATAAAAAACAATATATACCTTACGATTTCCGTAACCGTCAGTAATATAAGTCTCTCCCATTTCGTGTACTTTAATGTAGCTTATAGTGTAGATTCTAACCCATTGACCCTGATCATTTCTACCTTGCGTTTGAATACCAGTAACATTGTGCTCTACAAGCAAATTAATTTGAATCCAAGGATGGATTAAATCTGATTCTCCGTTTCCAACACACCAACCGCCTATGTACGATCCAGCTAATGGCGTTAAGTTTAGTCGGCCTCGTCTCGCACTGTGGTCGGTTGGACCGATCCAATAAGAACTCTCGCTTAGTTGTTCATCAAAAATATCGCCTGATTCCATTCCCAATGGTTCCAGACATTCTGTGAAAGACAGTGTTATAGCAGGTAGTTGCCGGTTAATGTTAGCTAAGATGAAGTTATTGACCCCATAATGACCCCAACTCATTGCAATAATAATAAAATGAACCCAAATTAGTGCGGAAATATAAAATTAAAACCCAAATGAAAGAGATATTTTTACCAGGTATTTTAATATTATTTTAGTTTCATTTCTGATAAATACCATGAAATTTAAATTACCATATCACAATTGTGAATAAATTAATTCCAAAGGTATTATATGAGTGTAACGAGGTATTTTAGTATTATTTTATTTATTATTTAAATTTCGTTTCCCATAAATACCACGAAATTTAAATTACAGTAATTTTTACAATTGTGAATAAATTAATTCTAAAGGGTATTTTAGTGTAATTTTGGTGGTCTCTATCTGTTATTATTATTATTATTATTATTATTATTATTATTATTATTATTATTATTATTATTATTATTGTTATTATTATTATTATTATTATTATTATTGTTATTGTTATTGTTATTATTATTATTATTATTATTATTATTATTATTATTATTATTATTATTATTATCGTTATTGTTCATTTGTATTCATCCCGCTCCCCCACTAGCTTGGATAGAACCGTCTACTGCTGCCTTCAGTGTGTGGCTTATTTTTACGGGTTGACTGAGTAGGCCTACCATACGATATCTCTACAGTTGTTAAAACTAACCCTCTTCAGAGTGCGGCACGCCGTATCTCTTGGCACAATGAATGTGGAAATAGTCTGGCTCTGCTGTACTTGGCTAGTAGTAAATAATAGGCCTACATTGTGTCGTCAGTTTCTGTGGTTATTTCTTATCGGACTGTCAATGCATATAGGCCTAGCCTACGCACATACGATGAGAGCCAAATAAACTCTTGTTTGCGATAATTTAATTGCAATTCTCGGTGACGAGCCCTGATGAACTGTAAAGATAGCCAAAAAAGAGGCTTTTCAACCCGAGTTCTCATTATTTTACATCCATAATTAACCTGATCGTTTTGGCTTAGTTGCGCATGCTCAATTGTTGCGTATATAATTTGATTTTCCCATTTCTATTCCATACCCTCTTCACAGCAGCTTTTTGATTCCTCAGACGATTATTTGGTAATCATCTGTGGCGGCGCCAGTGGGGTGACAGGGGGCTTAAGCCCCCCTCCCACCGGACAG